AGAACTGTATCTCTACTAGAGCAATTAGAAGGGTTATACCTACAAGAAGGTAGAGTGTATTTTTTGACTTTGATGGGATGATATTAAAAAAAAATCAGGGGTGAGAAAGAGGAATGCATTGGGAGAAAAGAGGAGGGAGAAGCAGAAACTGACTAGGGCAGGCCTGCACAACATATGACCTGCTGGCTCATTTGTCAGGCCGCAAGTGACCCACAAGTGCTATGTTGTGCAGGCCTGCTACATATCCTGAATAAGCCCTTTTGTTCAAGTTTTGTTTCTGGAGTCAGTTGGGCTAACCTCTTTGGTTTCTAGACAAGTTTCATTCATGAGTTGTGGGTATTCTTCCTTTTTCTTCCTGGTGACTTGAGCGACCCCTGCCTGCTTGTGGCTATGTAAACATCATTGGTTTAAGTTCCCTAGCTGGTTGAAGAGCTAGAACTTTGGGGATATACGAAAGAGATGACCTTGGCCCCCAGTATTATTCTTTCTTTCCAAGTTTGAAGGGAAGACTTTTTGGAACTGTGCCTGGGAGAGTGGAGTTGGGATGGGGGGAATTTTGAAAGGCTTGTTTACCTCTTGTCTTCATATATTCATTCATACATGTACTGCCTAGCAAATTTGTACTTGGGATGGGCTGTCTCAGTTTTCTTGTTCTTCCTTTTGTTAACTAGGTGACTAAATAATAAACTTGATATGGAGATGTGTAGGCAACCTAGTAAGTTTCGGAGGGTCCTGAGGTCCTGAGAGACTACTGAGGCTGTGAGTTCAGTATCCACTGTGGTGGATGATTGTAGTGGTTGATTGTAGTCATAATAACAGTAGCTGGAGTGATCTGGTGCCAAGGGAAGAATCAGCATCGGAGAGAGAGAGACAGAGAGACAGAGAGACAGAGAGACAGAGAGAGACAGAGAGAGACAGAGACAGAGAGAGAGAGAGAGAGAGAGAGAGAGAGAGAGAGAGAGAGAGAGAGAGAGAGAGAGAGAGGCCACCAGAAAAGAAGGATATCCTTGGATGACACTTGACATTTTATTGTACTGTGCTCAGCAAAAGTAAAATGTGAAAGTCTAATTAGCAGAATTGTCAGACTGCATTTTGTCTTGAGGCTTGCTATCAGACTCCCAGCATATTGTAATATCCTTAAAAATTGAATTTCTCAATCCTATTTAAATCTTTATGTCAATAAACACTGTAAGTCTCTTTGTCCTTGCTTTCTGTATGGGGATAACATGCCCTGCCTTATACCTAGTTCACATGATGCATTGGGTACCACTTTTTCTCCCCCCTTTTTGGGAAATCCCAGACTATAGCCAAAAATAAATTAGGGGGGGTGTGATGAACTAAACGAATCTGAAAGATGGTTAACCTACTTCCCCTAGTGAAAGTCAGGATTTCTCTAGAGCTAAACCCTAGGGAAACCATGGCATTAGGTAAAGGGGAGGAAAAGAAGAAATAAAGCATTTAAAAAATTTTTCAATGTAACTTTATTTGCATAATCTGAAACATAAACAGAGTGCAGTTATTAACTATAAACTAGCACAAGACTGCTTGCTAGGAATCTGAAACTATCAACCTGATTCCATATTACAATTCAAGATATTTTTTCTTTAAGGAGTGCCATTACCTGTGAAGGGATATTCAGTGGGGGTAAAGTGGTCCTTCACTCCAACCATAAGGAATACTATCCTCTAAGAAACAAAACAATTCTTCTATACTTCCCTGGGCTTGGGTCAGCCTAAACTGGCTCTCGGTCAGATGATGCTTGTCTAGATATTCAAACCCATTACTTAGGGAAAAGGTGGTATGAAGCTTCTGCATGTCATAACAGGCCTGTTGGAGCTTGTCTTGTAGGCTTCTTGAGAGACCTTGGGCTTTGGGCATGAGATCCGTGAAGGCCGACTGTAATTTCAGGGCAATGATGTGGGACATGTCCGGAGTCTGGATTTCCAGAAGCTGTGTATCACCATCCACATTTTCAGACTGGCTCCTATTCCACTTGATCCGCAGCTCAAATAGGGCCTTATGGTATTTCTCCAATCCTCAGAACCTTGCTTACTTGGTAGGTCAATTCAGTTGCTTCATAGAGCTGGTACAAGAGTTTTCTAATGCTGTTCTTAGAACCTCTGATATTTTCTAATGCCTTCCTATATGTCTGGGGCTGGAGGTTGCTTGGCAGAGAACCTGGTGACGTGAAATAGCCTTCTTCTCTGGAAGATTTGTTTCTAAGATAATCTCTGTCTTCCTCTGAAGATTCTTGAATATTAGCCGTGTCCTGTGAGATTGGGAGGTATTTGTCCATAGTCACTTTTAATTCTTCTAATGTTCGTTTCTCCTCTTGGATTTCAGACAAGATTTTCTCTTCATCAGACTCAGATCTTGTGGTAACATCACTGATGCTTGTGGCATCTTCCTTGCTGGAGTCACCACTACTGGCATTCATTAATGAATCAGTTTCTTTTGATGGTTGAGCTTTTGTCAAGTATGATCTCTTTAGATAAAGGTGGTTTCTTCTGTGGTAACTGTGATCTGCTCATTCTCTCTTGGCTGATAGGCTCACTTGAAGCTGTTTAGGTGATTTAGAACAATGATTCCATGTTGAGGATCTCAACTCAATACTATTTTTTGTCAGCCAAAAACAAGATTTATTAAAGATCTACCACATTGGACGGATTCTTAAGGAATCTGAACATTTATGAGCTATTGACTAGATTACAAAAATCCCTTATAAAAAAACCCTTATCTAGACTCTTAAAGAATCTGAGCCAAAATAAAGCATTTATATAGCACCTATTATATGCCAGGCACTATGCTAAATACTTTAGAAATATAATCTCACCTTATCCTTACAACAACTCTGCAAGGCAGGTGCTATTATTATCCCCATTTTTACAGTTGAGGAAACTGAGGCAAACAGAGGTTTAAGTTACTTGGCCAGGGTCCCATAGCTAGTAAGTGTCTAAAGCTGTATTTGAATTCAGGTCTTCTTGACTGCAGACCTAGCACTCTATTGTGGTACCGGTTGCATCTTAATGACACAGATTGGCACAGGTTGCCAATTTGTGGCCTCAGAGGAGCAGAGCAAAGCCTAGTTATTTATTTTTTTGTTTTGTTTTGTTTTGCAAAGCCTAGTTAGTCATTATACAAGACAGGCTTCAAGGTTTCTTAGCTTTTCTGTCCTTCATTTCTTAGACTTTGTTCCAAGTGTGGGCACCCACACTTGAGAATGGTGTTCTCCATTTTGGTGTATGAATCATAGAATCAGAGATGTTTGGAGTTTGAAGGGATCTCAATGACTGCCCATGACAGTTTATACCTGAGTAGGAACCCCCACTAAAATATACCTGACAAGCAATCTTCCAGCCTGCATTTTAAGACTTTCAGTTTTTTTTTGTTTGTTTTTTTTTTTTTTTTTTTAGAATTCATGACCTGTTAAGGTAGTCCATTTAATTTTGAAGTACCTTCATTTTTTAGGAAATATTTCTTTCCATCAAAACAAAATCTGTCCCTTTGTGGTTTCTATTTCTTTCTCCTAATTCTGCACTTTCAGGACAAGTAAAAAGAGAAAACCAAACTAAATTCCTATTCAAGTATTTAAGAACAGCTATTATTCCTTTTTCTTTTTTTCCATGCTAAACAAACCCAGACCTTGAGCCAACTCCCAAATTGAATAGTTTCCTGTCTCTTTTGATGGCCTTTCTCTTTTCAGCATTCTTCCTAAGATGCAGCAACTAAAACTGATCATGATACTTAAAATGTGCTCTGACGAGGGCAGAAAACAATGGAACCATAAATCTCCCTGATTCTGGACACCATATTTATATTAATAGACCTTAAGGTTAAACTTTTGGCTGCCACATCATCTATTGACTCTTATTGAGTTTGCATTCACTGACATTTCACTAACTCTGCCATTTTCATACAAATTGTTCTTTGGCTATTCCTCTTCTGGGCTTCAGGCCACCTCTAATTAATATATTATTTCCTTCATCCTCCTGGATGTTTGGTGGCTCTGACACCTGGAATATTTAAAATACCTTTCACACATTCATCTTTATTCTGGTTTTCCTGAAGAAAAGTTGCTAGCTGGTTGTTATGGCTGGTTCTATTCTTGGCTTCAATCCTCCAGGGCCCTAGTGAAGGGATGCCTGGCTTCTCCATATTATTCTCTGTAAGGGTCTCTGGCAGATTCCAATTGATTTCCTATTAGAAGCTTGCCCTCCTTTCCAGGGAACCCTCTTTCCATGCTTCTTCTTTTTGGATCATCTTGGACTCCTAGTTCATTTTCAAAACTGAGATTATTGACTGGTTTACCCTTTGTACTCTCTTCCTTGTTCATTTAACATTAAGTAAAGCCTGCTCCAGGAGGAGTATTCATCTTTGAAAAAGAACACTTTGTACATATAGTAACAAAAAAGTAGTTCTTCTGTCTCTTACCCTTACTTATCAGAAGCCTTATATGCCAAGTGTTGGCAGGTTATCTGGAAGAATAGTTTTGTTTTCAGGGAGTAGGGTTGGGAGGCAACTTGATACTGTGAAAGGAGTAGTAACTCTCAAATAAAAGGACATGGGTTCAAATCAAAATTCAAATAATACCTATGTGACCTTGGGTAAGTCCATGACATGGACCTCAATTTTTTTACTCACAAAATTTGGGGACTAGACTAGATGGTCTCTAAAGACCCTTCTAGCTATTGATTTGTGATAGGCATGCTCAGTTTCCATGACAGGAGGCCAGAAAAATTATTTTCACTGATCCAGGCAAGGTATGCAAATCACATGCATTTGAAAAGAGCAGTTGTAACTGAGGCTGGTGGAGATTTGCATCCACACAGAGCTGTGTGGACCTTTCCTCTCCAACCCCACAGAATTCTTTAATTATACGATAGCTTAGAAAGAAAGGGTAGAATATTCTCCCTGCACATCTTATCAAACAAAGCAGGAGCTCCATCAATCAGAGGCCAGCAGAAACCTAAGCAAGAGCAGTAATTGTAGGAGGGACTGAAATGTTGGGTCCATTCACAATCTTTGCCATGGTTCTCTATGTCCTGTTGTGCTTCCTGGGGATCATGGGTAATGGCTTCATTGTTGTGGTACTGGGAAGGGAGTGGGTTCGATGCCACCGGCTGTCTCCCCGTGACGTGATCCTGATCAGTTTGGGTGCCTCCCGTTTCTGCCTGCTGTGGCTTGGAATGACACGTGACTTTTGCTCTTTTCTTCACCTACAATATTCCATGGAGCCTACCTACCAGTACCTTGGAATTTACTTGGATTTTCTGAGTTCGGTCACAGTCTGGTGTGCCGCTTGTCTTAGTGTCCTCTTCTGTGTGAAGATTGCGAACTTCACTCACCCCATTTTCCTTTGGCTGAAGTGGAGAGTCAATGGACTGGTACCCTGGTTCCTACTAGTCTCTTTGCTAATCTCTTTCATTGTCTCCATGCTGTTTTTTGTGAGTAACAATGCTTTGTACCAGGCATTCTTGCAGGGGGCATTCTCTGGGAACATAACCTTATATGACTTCACTAGGAATCTAGAAATCCACTATTTTCTCCCTTTGAAACTCATTACTTCATCTATCCCCTTTTCTATGTTTGTAGTCTCAACAGTTCTGCTGATTACCTCTCTGTGGAGACACTCCTGGAGAATGCAACAGAGTGCTCACTGTACCCAGGATGCCAGTACTCAGGCTCATACCAGAGCTCTGAAGTCTCTGGTCTCCTTCCTAGTTCTTCATTCTCTTTCTTTTATGTTTTTTATCATCAATGCTGCCTTTTATGACTTTGAAGGTACCTGGTACTGGCCATGGCAAATTGCTCTTTACCTGTCCACAACTCTTCATCCCTCCATCCTTATCCTTGGCAACTCCCACCTAGGAGGGGCACTCATGAAGCTTCTTCTTCTGCCTAAAACCTTCTGGAATGACAAGAAGATGTCAGCTCCTGTCTAAGATACATACCTCTCTTTCCCATACCAAAGAAAAGACTTTACTGAGGACTGGAGCTGAGCATATCTTTGGACCTCAAAGTTTTTATCCTATTGAAATCCAGAAAGAAATTAAACATTTTCCTCATTCATTAATCTCATACTCATATATTCAAATGAATTTGTGATCTCATGGATTTCATAGTGTCTGACTTCCAGTGAGGCCTTATTGATGTCTGTCTATGCCTGCCCAGCCTGCTTCACTCTTGTCTTCCCTTAAGTTCACTATAAGGAGTCTCCAGCCTGCACATTGGAGGCCTTCCTTCCTCCTGACATTTGGAGAGTACCAGAGAAACACACGGTTGTCCTCTTGTCATCTTTCACCCTTGTCACTGTGTCCTGTTCTTCCAGGAAAAGAAATAAAAAAAACATCACGCAGCTTTCAAAGGACATTTTCTTTCTTTTTGAAATAACCACAGTGACTTTCTTCAAACAACCCTCAGGAAAGGTCACCTCTGAGTAGTCATTCCAAAACCTAAATGTTCAAGAATGTTACTGATGTTTTTCTATCATAATATCTGTATGATGAAACCACTTTATTTTTTTTATTTAAACAATTGTTAAATGTTATTTTAAAGCCTTTTGTTCTAGCTAAGATGGAAAATATTTCAACAATCCATGTGAGGAAATCTTGGTTACTGCGTTAATTACGAAAGGCAGGCTGTAAGAAGCTATAGTTGATAGAACTGATGACAGATATTAGGAGAGACCATTGCAAGTAAAATTTCAAAGAAGTATTTTTTTGGGGGGGAAGGGAGAAAGTTCCTAGAATCTTTGATTTAGAACAGAAGGTACCTAAGGAACCATTTGCTAGTTTGATCTCTTTATTTTACATAGGAGGAAAATGAAACCCAGAAAAGTGAAATTACTCCAAATTCACATAGTCAATGAGTTACAGAGCTGTGATTTGAATTCAGGTCTTTTGAGTTCAAATCTGTGCTGTTTTCATGAGAGCAGTTCCTAATTATTTTGTTTCTTGACCTTCTTGCAACAAAACCCCAAAAGATATATTATGAATCCCCAAGTTAATTTAATATAATTACTACTTATAATAATTAAAATGACAATTTTAATCCCCAAAAACTCAAAATTAAACTATGCATTCTATAATTTTAAAATATAAAGTTATTTTTACCTTTAATTATGAATACTAAATGTACAATTAGAAAACTTTAATTGTAGAATAGTTAAAATATTTTATATAGGATATTGTGTAAGAATTGAAAGAAGTAATTCAGTAATACTTCATATGCTTACTATCATCTGCAAGACTTAAATTAAATTTCTTTATTATTTTGTTGAATATAAATAACATTTTAAAATAAATAAGTGACAACTTTAAAGATGTTTTAAATAATGTAATAATCAGTTATAAACTTAATTTGGATATTGGTTTTTTTTTTAAAAATGAACAAATTTTTGCAATATTTGGGGCAGTGTGAGACAAATACAATTTTGAGTATGGTTCTTCATTGATTTCATTTTTTTTTGAATTAAAATAAGAATAAAGAATAAAACGCTTGCTCACACAAATAAATGGTAGAAAAATGGTAGGATAATTTTACAAGTTCTCTAGCTGAATGATGAAAATTTATTTTATTTTTAGCTAAAAGTTTATAAGACAATCAGTTTTGAATGATTGTGGTCTAAAATCCATTGTTATATTAATACATTTTTCCTTTTTGTCTATTATTAACACATTAGTCAGAGACATAAAAGATATATCAAATAGGTTGCAATCTAATTTAATTCATTGGAATATTCAGGAAAAATTTTTGAAAGTATTTTTTAAAAATATCTGATGATAACTGATTTTTTTAATGAATATCATTCATATTATTTTTGTCAGATTTACAATGTTCTGTGTTCATTAAGAATTACATATGGAGGTGGGAAAAAATCCTAACTCCTTAGGATTAATTTATATACACACACATAGTAAGAAACAAAACAAAGTAGCTATTAGTTTTCCATGAATTTCTTGCAAAAGAAATGCAAACTATTTAACCTAAGAAGCAAAAAACAAGCTTGAAAAGACCTATCAAAGCTTAAACATGACAATAGATGCTTAATTTCACAGCTTTAGAGTTTTCTTCAGTAGTATCTCTTTTCTCAAACCAGACAATCTCCCATCTCTATTTATTTTGGATTCATTTTTTCTTGGGGTGAGGATTTCGGGGGCAGGAGACTACGAAAAGCAGGGGAAGTAAAATTCAAGTTCCTTCAGAGGAGGAACTGGGGGTTTTGTTTTGTTTGTATCCCCAGCATCTAACACAATGCTTTGCACATGATAGACACTTAAAATGTTGATTGAATTTAATGGAACACAGTTGAAGGAGGAACACATAGGAAACTAAGTTTTTAGATTAATTAAACTGATGAGGTAAGAATGGCACTTTTTTTTGATAGGCTGATTCAAAGGCAATTCATTTTCTAATAAGAAATTATGGAATGTCACAAAGCACTCATTATTGTTCTCAATTTTTTAGTCCCAAAATTTTTGTTTCTCAATCACACTTTTTACTCTATCTTGAACATTGAACATATTTGTGTTCTTACCCTATAATGATGTGTTGAGTTATTGGTTTTTGAAGCAATGTCTGCTAAATATTGCAACTAACTCTTTTCTATATTCAATTAGATGAGTAAAACTTCCCCACAAGGAAGGCATCTAACATCTGTGTGTGTTTGAAGTGTATCATGCTTGGTGCACATCTCTCTGCATAAAATGGTAAACAATTAAGAGTTGATCTTAATTTTATAAAATGAATTATTTTGAAAGCATTATCTAATACATTTTAAGTTGTGGCATTCTCTTTGATGTGGAAGCATGGCTGTGTATGTTGCAGTGTGTCCATGGCATATTTGTGCTTTTTTTTTTAACATGCCAAACAACATCCTTAAGGTTCTCAGTTGTTGATTTTGCTCTGTCTTTGTAAATTCCACAATTTGATTTGTTTTCCTTCAAATTCATTAGTATGAATTAAGTAGGTTAAAATATTTTCCCTAGTTGTATGTCTTGTTAACTAATGATAAAATAGTATATTCTTTTATACTTTACCTCTTTCATCTATCTTACAAATGCACCCTGCAGCCACTAATAGTTTTTCTTTCTTGATACAGATGCAAAAACACTTACTTGACAAATGATAAATAAACATGAAACTTTAAAAGGGAAATAGTTTTTAAAACAAAAAATATTGAGGAATTTATTTGGTAAACATTTATTAAGTGCTCACTGCATGTCAGCCTCTGTGGTACGCACCCCAAAGAAAGGCAAAAGAATTCTTGCTCTCAAGGAACTCAGTCTAATGAGAGAGACAACATGAAAACAACTATATACAAACAAGCTATATATAGAAAAAATTGGAAATAATCAACAGAGGAAACACCCTAGAACTGAGGGAGATCTGTAAAGCTTTCCTGTAGAAAGTGGGATTTTAATTGGACTTAAAGGAAGCCAGGAGGTAGAGATGAGAAGTGAAAGAATTTGAGGCAAGGGGGTCAACCAGTGAAAATATCTGGAGTCTGGATATGGACTGCCTTATTCATGGAACACTAGTAAGAAGGTCAGTGTCCCTGTATTACAGAGCATGAAGTGAAGTGTGAGGTATAAGAAATTTGGCAAAGTGTGTATACCTGGGGACGGTTATAAAGGGCTTTGAATGCCAAATAGAGGATTATATTTGATCCTAGAGGAGATAGAGAGCCACTGGAGTTTATTGACTTGGAGTAGGGGAGCGATGAAATGGTTATGCCTGAGCTTCAGGAAGATAACTGACAGATGAGTGGATGATGAACTGGCATGGGGAGAAAGTTGTAGCAAGGCACCCAACCAGCAGGCTATTGCTATAGTCCAAGAATCAGGTGATGAGACATGGCACCAGGGTGGTAGCAATGTCAAGGCAGAAAAGGAGGCATATGAGAAAGATGTAACAACAGTAAAATTAATAGCTCTTAGCAACAAACTGATTATGGCAGAGTAAAAGAAAGATCAAGGAGTTGAGGATGACATTTGAGTTGCAGGCCTGAGTGACTGGAAGGATGGTGGTAGCCCCAACAATAATAGAGAAGTTAGGAAGACAGGTTAAATTAGCAGGAAAAAAATATTAAGTACATTTTTGAAAATGTTTAGTTGATGACGTTTATAGGATGTTTCAGGAGCCAAGATGACAGAGTAAGCAGCAGATTGCTGTAACTCTTCCATATTCACCTCAACAAGCATAAAATATCATTCCAAAACAAATTATGGAACAGCAGAACCAGAAAAAAGATGGGGTGAAACAGTATTTTAATCCAAAAAACCTTGGAAGATCAGCAAGAAAGGTCTGTCTCATTTGGATAAAGGGGTAGCGCATTGCAAGACAGGAAGCTTCCCAGTAAGCCAGCAGCAAGGTCCACTTCAGTAAATCAGTGGGAGATCCTGAGCCCCACTGTGGTAGAGCGGGCAAACACTAAAACCAGGACCCCCTCTCCCCACATGCCTTGGCATAGACAGGGGAACTGGCAGACTCCAGCTCTGAGAGCTACCATGTGCTTCAGTATAGCCCCAGGGAAATGCAGAAACACCCCACCAGGCCTCAACATATACCAGACATCACCTGTAAGACCCCAGCTCTGCACCAGACCTCCAGCAGTGCCAGTTGCCTCCCACCCCTCCCTCAGGACAACACCAGAAATGAGGGTCCCCGGGGGCCTCAGGGCAATATCAGTGCAGCACTAGGTAAACAACCAGATCCTGCAGCCAGTGGCACAAGAAACTTGAGATAGTGCCCCTTCCACCCCAACTGCAGAGCTCAAATTTAAAAGAAAGGAAAAAGGCAAAAAAATGAGCGAAAACCAAGAAAAAAAAAAGTATCTGACCATAGAAAGTTATTATGGTGACATGGAAGACCAAGACAAAAACTCAGAAGACATCAAAAATGTAAAAACACCTATGGACAAAACACCAAACAAAATTGGGAA